CCAGTCCCTACAAGTATACGATAAAAAAGTCAATGAATTAAACCAAATAATGTATTTAAATAAAAATATTATAAATAAAACATTAACCTTAAATTACCTGGCTCTAATATCTGTAGCGTTCTCCAGAACTGGTGAATCATTCCGAGATCAATCGGAGTGTTGAAATCAACTGTGTTACGGAGCAGACATGCACAAGGAAGTCCATGAGTGCACTGCAATACACAGCCGCAGCTAGTGTAAATATCGGCGTCCAAGTCGACCATCCTCGTAAGCTCAGCGTCCAATAAACTCAGGCAGTAATGCGAGACCCTCAGTATCACGCTCGCGAAAAGGATTCCCTTATACCGTGTATTTTTCTTAGATCTCGAGGCCTCAAGTGCTGTCCTGATAATACGTTACATAACGTTAGATTATAATTAATTAATGCAGTAATATAATAACGCATTTAAAAATTGCAGTACGTACTTGATTTCAGTCACTTGATTATCGATGTGCTTATTAATCTTCTGCCAAACTGTATCGAGCGCGCCGGTGGACGTCTGAAGCCACTCCTTCAACACAGAGTGGTACTCTCCACCCTACAGGAAGTTGTGTTTCCAAAATGTATTACTCGGTTAGTCCAAGCCTTCACAAACTTTTCGCGGTGCCCTAACCATGTGCCCTCTACATACCGTATCACCTCTGGAGACTTTGAATATTTTGCGTGTAGCTCGGCAACGGCATCGGTGTAGGCATCGAACGTACTGGCCTCTGCAATCGCCTTCCACGTACTGTGCGTGAAAATTTCCGAGAATTTTTTACTCTTCCCAAATAGTTTGTAGACTCTGGCTTTCACATCCTTGTTGATGTGCCACGTGCAGAGTAAGTGGGCTGATTCGGGAAAATGCCTCTGAATAGGAGTGAGTAAACTCAACTCTCTGTCACTGACAACAACATAAGGATATACATCTAGGCCTATTAGTAGTCTCAACTTCTCTAGAACCCAGTCGTAACTAGCCTCTTTCTCGTCCCTGATGAGCGCATACGCAATTATGAAGTTCTGGTTGCACGGCGTCATCCCAATCATCTCGACCAACGACATCTTGTACCTGTGCAAATGAGACCAAGAAGACAAAATATATAATCAAATAAAATTTTACTTAATCAAACACACTATTTAAGATTCATACTAATAAAGTATTTATAAAGTAACATACCTGTTGGTTTTATACGTGGAATCTATGCCGACATACCAGTGATATGTCCGGAATAGATTGATCGACGCAGGATGGGCCATGAATATATGCGTCAACGCTTTCGTGTTCGGATCGGATTCTGCATAAACTGTATACTCGCTGCTCACGGCTAAATGCATAAGCTGGGAAGGAACGTCTCTACCGTCGGAACTCTCTCTCCGCAGCTTATCTCTAAAGTTATATACCTGTCACCGATTAACGTTAATTATAATGATTATTATAATTTAAAATAAAAAAATATTATATTAATAAATAAAAAAGTATATTAATGCGATTAATTTGATAAAAAAATTATAACTATCACAATAATAATACATTAGTAAATATAATAAAATTTATTAATTATTACAATAACTTTTACATATAAAAAATTACTAATTACCATAATTAACTTCAAAAAGTTAATTAAAACATATATTACAAGATATAAATATATATACCTGTCGCACATGAACATTGTCACCCGGATTCTTTTCCTTCAGCGCGGTCATAATTTTTGTCGGGGCCACCTGAGCGTCCTTAATTAAGGGTGTTCACGGTCCGGTTTTAACCGAAAAAAACCGTCAATTCGGACCGCAGATCGGTTAAATGATCAGTTAAAAAAGCCTTAAAAATCTGGTGGTTAATTTTTTTAAAAATACGGAATAACCGGTCCGGTTAATGGATTACCTGCGGCAAACCGCCGGTTTAACCGGACCGGACCGGTAAATATTAAAAGACTATAACAAATATATATATACATTTAGTCATTCACTATGACCGACAAATACAATACATTCACTATGAATGCTTTGCTCTTATTATTTCAAGAGTATAAAGTGACTGAAAAATGAATGCTTACTTGGGTTCAGTTTGCATAATTTAATCTTCATCATTTTTGTATTTTTATGTTTATGGGACGAAATGTGTATTTTTATGTTTATGGGACGAATTGTGTATTTTTTTATTTCATTATTGTTGTTTTTCTTAATTTTTAGGCCCAAAATTGAAAAATAAAAATTGAAGGCCCAAAACAAGGATTTTGGATTTAACCGGTTAACCGCCAAACCGGACCGTCCAATGCGGTCCGGATTGTGGTCGGTTAAAAAACAAAACCGGTCCAGTTATGGACAAGAAAAAAAATTAACCGTTAGGTCCGGTTTGGTCATGGTTTGGTCTAAAACCGGACCAATCCGGACCGTGAACGTCCCTATCCTTCATATCACGAACAATTTTCTTAGATGAAGCGCTGAGGCCGCTCAACTGGCGATGATCCTCAGGATACACATCAAATGTATGGTTATGGTAACCCTTCTCTTCGTTGCTACATATACAGATCCTCCAGTATGGAGCGCCGGACACCTTTTTTACTTTGATCTCAAAATTGCAGCCGCACTTATTCGTTTTTGTCTTTCTAGAATTTCCGCCTGTGCCTCTATACCGTTCGCCTCTATGGCACTTCAAAAGCCTGACCGTTTTCTTTTTGTGGCTCGAAATTATTAATAGGAAACCATTCAGCATTGCCTGGTGTTTTGCAGCTTCAATAGCGTCCTGAGCACTATTAAATAATGTACAGGTATCGAAACGCAGCTTGTAATCAACACCATCTCCTCCAAAATCTTCCCATGACTCCTGCTATATAGTACAATATTTATATTTTTAGAACGTGTTAAATTAAGATAATTAATTCTAGCATGTAACATAATAATTTGTAACTCATAACATGATAATATCTAACGTCCAATTTATAGCATAATGAAGTCTAACATGTAACACAATAATTTGTAACTCCTAACACGATCACGATAATATCTAACGTCCAATTTATAATATAATCAACTATAACATGTAACATAATAATTTGTTACTCCTAACACGATACTATGTAACGTCAATTTATAACATAACCAAGACTAACATGTAATATAATAATTTCTAACCCGTAACACGATACTATCTAACGTCAATTTATAACATAACCAAGACTAACATGTAACATAATAATTTCTAACTCGTAACACGATAATATCTAACGTCCAATTTATATTATAATCAACATGAAACATAATAATTTGTAACTCCTAACACGACAAACGTCCAATTTATAGCATAATCAAATCTAAAATGTAACATAATAATTTATAACATAATAATATAGTCCAATTTATAACAAAATTATTTCGAATATATAACATAATAATTTAAAAAAAAAAAAATTGTCCGGCCGGCCGAACCGGACGGACCGGTTCCGACCGGTCGTCGTTTTCGGACGGCTTTTAAGCCGTCTGGCCGGCTGGTTCGGTCCAAGCCCGTCCGACCGGCCAAACTTTTCGGACGGCTTTTAACCCGTCCGAAAAGTTCGGCCAGACGGCTTATGATCCGTCCAGTTCCGGCAGCCAGACGGGCTAAAAGCCGTCCGCTTCCGGCGGCCGGACACAAAAAATTTCGTACCTCCGAATTTAACGACATTTCACCGTACACTTTCCTCTGAGATTTAGAAAAAATGAAAAAGGCAAGATCGTCCAAGGGAGGCGGTGAGTAGTAAAATGGGGGGCGGTAAATGGTACCACCCAAAAATTTCAAAAAAAAAATTCAACATTTTAACTCAACCATTTTTTTTAACTCAACTTTAACTCAACCCCACTATTATCAATATTATCAATATAATTAAATAATATCAATCAATCATTCATACACCACATCAACCTTAATTCACTATTCATCTACTCACATTATTTTAACTAACCATCACTTCAAATCATCTTTCTATTATTTTACATCAAATCAATTTTAATTATTATTTTAATATACCCACTAACAACTAACTATACCAACTTTTTCAAAATTAACCAAACCAAACCAAAAATCCAACTACACCAAAAAATTTTATATCCAAACATGCTGATATAGTGAGAAGCGAGAATCATATAAGACCTTAAGTTAGAAAATGTCATATAACTTCATATCCAGCAAAAATGTGAGACATGAGAATCAATTAATGATGATGTCATAGAAGAAATATCCAGCACAGCTTAAGAATGAAATGACGAGAGACTGACAAGCACAATGATAATTTATTGTCTTCGACTCGTGTAAATATTTGGTCAAATAGAATTTAACAAGAATTTAGAATTTTATAATAAATTTTTGGAATTTTTAAATTGTTGCCATAGTAAAAATCTTCTAACATCAGATAATAGTTATGCAAATTTTTTTGACAAAAATGATCAACAATGAGAAGTGTAATAAGTAGAATATAAGATGACAATGAAACAACCAAAGCAAATGTTGGACAAAATTACAATAAATAATAAATATATTTAGCAGAATTATTTTAATGAGAAAATGAATATACGTGACATGTATACAAAAACTTTATAAATTTTATTTAATAGTTCAAAATTGAAAAGTGAAGTTTAAAAAGATGTAATCTAAACATTATTTTGATTGGTAATATGTAACAGTTAAGAAATAATATTTAAATTCACTTTTCAATAACATAATTTCATTAGATACTTAAATTATAACTTTCTAATTCAAATTACATATTTTTAAAGTTCACTTTTCAAATAATTGAACTTTTAATATAAAATCTATTAAAATTTTGCATAAATACAACTTACATAGATTAATGTTCTCATTAAGATTATCTTACTAAGATATTTAATATATTTTAATTATAAGTTACACAAAATATAAGTTGCAAAAGAATAATATTTTGGTGGACATAATAACTATGTAAAAGAATAAAGTTGAAACATTAAATTGAGAACTAAAGTATAAAAGCGGGGGCTTAAATTGTGAAAAACTTAAAAATTAAAACCTTCAATTGAGAAAAATTAAAAATTCAAACCCTAAATTAACAAAATTCCAAAAATCTAAACCTTGTAATGGAATTTACCCTCTTTTTTCTTTTTTTCCCCCCCTTGAAGGTCAATGTAAAGAAATTCCATGTTTGTCAACCCAGCTCAAGAAAAAAAACCAGTCAAAGACATCTAACCATAAATGTCTGAATTTATGACTATGCAACACCTACAATGTATGCATTCCAAGAATCCTGCTGCTCGAAGCTCGTAGCCTCTTCATATTTCACGTCTTGCCCGACAGATAATCCATCCGTGCACCTCATTTCTTTGCTGTTTGGCATTTCTCTAATCCAAAAGTGGACAGAGCTAAATCCAGCCTCCTCCAAGCAATCCTTAATTTCAGGCAAAGACCACCTGGCATAAGAAAGACTTAGATATTACAACTGTAATTTGTCGTTCATCCATAATTAGGTACAAGTACAACTTTACATGCTGCGCCTAATTAATAAAGAAAAGGAAAGGAAAACCACCAAATCCAATTATCCGGTCATTCCCCTCATATTAACATGAATCAAATGTCGAAGTTTGTTAATAGTTAATTAAAAAATTAATCTTGAGGTACGATCTTTCAAACAGAAATGTGTGGTTCTAAGAGAATGTGGACTAAATCTCAAGAAGTAGGCAACTGAGCTTACAGTCTCCAGCTGTAACTAAACGCATGTCGAATCTTTCTATGCTGCTTTTGCAGATTGAAGTGGAGACTTATTCTTGTTTTCCTTTGAATGATGTCAAATTCAGCTTGCTCCCAGATATACTGAAGGAAACGATATTAAGGTGAAGTAGAAAAATAATTCGTAGCTAATGATAGAGTTCGATATTGTAGGTGCATTTCCATTAATTAACACTGATAGTATGTCAAAATAAAGCAAGAACGCAAAATTAATACAGGATGACATGGAAATGAACAGAAGCAGAAATTGGCTGTTCAAATCTTGTGTTGTTGAGCCTTACAGTACGAAGAACTGATTGAAAATTTTTCTCCTACTTATGTGAGTGCAGAAATCCTTTTCGGAAACAGGACTGTCATATTCTTCTACCCAACTGATGTTTCTTTATCCTTAAATGGCCATAGGATTTCCCAACAAGGAGAAAAAGCAAATTCTAACCCATGTATCGACTATATACCAAAAAATAAGAAAATCGATTCTACCGTGTAGATAGAAAGTGTATTCGGTAATTTCATTGGGTAAATTGACTTCACAATTGGGTCTCTCTCTCTCTTTTTCCTTTCCGAAAAAAGTCCGCTGGTAGGCATTAGATAGCCAACGCCTAAGAGTACTTACTATAATTAGACATTCTAAGTTCTGGCCAATAAGTTCATCTAAAATCAGCATTTTAGGAGATCTACCAAATCTATGCCATATAAGTAACAAAGTTCCATACCCATCAAGATACAGAAAAACGAATCCATAAATACACCAAAAAGAATCTATGGTCCTTTAGCATACCGTAAAATTGGGAAATCTTCTCTGCAGTCTCAGCACACCCTCCGAAGATGAACCTCCATACAAATCCATCACAAAAATACCGCCTTTTTTACTCAGCGCATTAAGTACATGCTTGAAGTACAAAATCAGTTCCTTACGGTTATGCAAACAACAACAGCTGTAATTGAAAGCACAAACTATATCCCTCTCAGGCAATTGCATGTCCTTACAGTATTTACCATCATGAACCGAACCATCTTCGTTGTCTTTCAATGTCAAGTTTTGCATGTCCGCGAGAGGATTAACATTAACTAATTTAGATTCATGAGGTTGCAGGACATTCCCGTGAAGAAGTGATAGTCTTGAGCTGACATCAGCTCCAATTCTGTTGACGTTATTTGTCAGACACCAGTTTAGTGCTTCCACATCTAAGTCTAGGCCTATGGCAGTTCTTCTAGCATCACCATGAAGCCACTCCACACTGCAAATTGTTTGAAATAGTACGGATTAAAGATCAAACATTATAAGCTGAGACATATCTAGATACACCATACATGGACCTGTTTTTATGCTACGTAAGTACATGAAATTAGTGCTCTGTTAACCAAGATTGACAACAAAGAGGTTGAGAAGCAGAACTGCATAAGGATGCATGATTTTGTACGTACACCAGTGTTCCTCTCATAAAATATACAAAAGTAACACATGAAATTTACAAGTTCATCGTAGTTGGATATTCAAATATAGGCAGTACCAAAATCAATGTAATTTTTGGTCCTCGATCATTTCATATCTATACCTTTTGGACAGCGAAAAACACTAAGAAGACACCTCAAAGTGCAACTAAAAGTAAAACCAACTTCATTAAATAGACAACTTCAAATAATGTCGTTGGAAAACACTACTCGATAGCCAAGATTTAGCTACAGCCCAAAATGAAATACACATCGACATAAATTATGCAGCTTATATAAGCACATTTGCACATTTACCACACGATAAAACCATATCATCATCAACAACAACTATTATATTTATAGAATGGGGGGAAGAGGGTGCGATCCCACCAAATGAAGCACACCATAAGAGGGTGAGCCTAGTTGCACCATAGTGAGGTTCCATCCCAAAATCAATTGGTGATAGGAGGAGTAGCCCACTAGGCTCATTTTCCCTATAGAATCAATGTGGGACAACTCACAAGTGATATTCCAACAACAACAAACAATAACGCACACAAACACACACTTGGCATCACCAAAACAACAATAACAACACACATACTAGGGATATCAAAAAATCCAGGAAAAATGAGGAAAAAGATAGTATAAAAGGTAGGGGGTTATGCATATATACCTCAAAAGAGCAGTGCCGCAAAAATCTTCCTGGAGATGGAGCGGTGCCCTCCCACCAACGTACATCAAAAAGAACTTCTGAAGATAGCTTATATCCCCTTTTGGAGACTGCAAATTCACAAATAAATAAATAAATAAAGCACACACACACACACAATCTCAACGCAAGATTCAATAATAGAAAAACTATTCAAAGAATAGTAACATATTACAGGAACATTAAAAAGGCTATAAAAATAGCAAAAAGGGTCTCCTGCTGACCTGCACCGACTGTTGATACAGAGAGTATTTTGAGGGGAGGCCATCATCAGTTCCTTTATCATCCTCGCCTTTGTCCTGCGATTCCTCGTTTTCTTCCTGCGATTCTTGGTCGGAGTCGGAGGGAGCAGCTTCTCGAGAAGAAGATGGCTGTGGGCTTAACGAATACTCATGAAGTCCTAGTTCGTCGCCGTCGTCTTGAACAGTGTACGAGGTTCTTTTCTCTCTGCGGTGATTGAGGGTTTGCTTTTTGCCGTGCTTCCCCATTTGTGCTCGGCCAGCCGCCGCCCAAGTCCAGTAGAGAAACGAGCTTGATTGCGGGTAACCAGGAGATTGTCCTATTTTTTCTTATTTACTTTCATTTCGATTCTTTAGACTGTAACTGATAACCGGGACAAAAATATTAAATGAGTTAAGAATTATAAAAAATAATAAGATTATGGTCTATTTTTCACATCTCTCTTAGTGAGCGTTAAGTCTAAAAAACAATAAGGTTATAATGTATTACGGTTATAATCTATTTTTCATCTCTCGCTATATTAAAAAAAAAAGACTTTAAATTATATGTTATACTATATTATTATTATATATAATTAATCATGTTTAATTATAAATATTTATGAAATTATTATTTAGTCAAATAAATAATTATAAGTATTTTAAAAGTGAGGAATCACCAGTTCTAATTAATCAAAATACATAAAGAATATTGTATAACATAAGGGAAAATACCAACAAAAAAGAATTGATTGAAAGTTTTATGGAATAAGACAAATCTATCTTACTTTTGACTTTTCCAACAAAGATAAAAAAATCGGTTCTGATTTTTATCACATAACAAATCTTTAATGTAAAGCATATAAATACCAAAATATATCTAAAATTAATTTCATTCTATTTTCAGCAAACATTAATTACCTTTGACTTTTCTGCCTACTATTTCTAGTAAATAGGATGTCTTTTTATATAAGTATAGATAACGTTTTTCGATTCAATAATAATAATAAAAAAAAACTAGGAATTGTTATTATATTAATAACCTACATCAATATAAAAAAGTTTGGTATTTACTTAATAGATTAAATTAAGGTTTTCCTAAAAAAAAATATTGGTATTTACTCATGTTGTCATGTTGTATGTTCAATCAATTAATTTAAATTTTTTAAAAATATTATGTTTATTTTTTTTTATAAATATGCATAAAGTAAGAAACAATTGATTTATCTTTAGATATATAATTTATAATCTTAATACAAAACATTTACTACATAAATTATAAAATATTTTTTATTTCCTAAAATTAAATATATTCGAGAAAAATAAACAAAATTCTGTGGATCAATCATGTGAATGAATTTAGTGTTACTGTCTATATTGGTCGAATTACTTTGAGGTGATATTTAAAATAGTATAAAATAAATGACCCAACTGAGTTGATCAAGAGTGACTAAGTTATGTTTGGTTAGGCCAAACCAAATCGATTATTAAAACTAAATATAAATATTAATATTAAAAATACTTTATAACGATAAATACAATGTAGCTCAAACTCCAAGTAATCATATTATATAAGAATACTTTTATGACAACATGTTCAATTATTTATAAATATTTATATATTATTTTATTAATATTTATGTGAACAAAATGATATTGCATTATAACATTCATATATTCATATAGTACTTCTTGGAATAAATTTATATAAAAAATATTAATTAAATATCTAAAACTTAAATGTTTAAACTCACTAATAAATAATTTATAACTCTACATTATTTTTTAATATGGACTTTTTTCATATTAAAAATAATTTAAAATGAAAAATTATTTTAAAAAACGTATTGATTCTACTAGTTCGACCGACTGGTGTTCCCCAGTTTGCTAGCAAGAGTTTTATTCACGCGAAGCGAACTAATCAATGAATTGTTTTTTGTCCATCCAGTCGGGCTAGTAGGTCTGGTCCGTTCTTGAAAACAATGGGTAAATCATGATTAATTTTATTTATAAATTTAATTTATTATACAATCATAATATTATTTCTCCATGCATCGTACGAGTTACGTACTAGTTTATAAGAATTTTTTTTTATTGTCTATAACAACTATTATCAACTATTGTCTAGAACATGGTTGATATCTTCCTCAGCTTCCCCCACATATTTGGCAAGTAGAGCCCAGGTTCATCCCATTCTTCAGCAACTGTGACTAAACACTGAGATGTTCAAACCAACATCTCCAGAGAAAAGTTTTAACCTTAGGCTTGATAGGCATATGTCATGTCTTCTTCCACATCTTTTTAATTAAATAAGTATCCTAGCTAGTATTCTCTACCCCTTTGTTTCTGAAAGAATCCCCCATGATGTTCTTATAAGCGTCTTTCAGAAAGAATATGCCTTTAGATCTCAAGTGCCAAATCAACTTATCATTGCTTCTTTGAGGGTGTAAGGGAATTTTCAGAATAAGATCGCTTTCATAGGTTCAAGGGTTTGCAAAATTAAATCAGCGTTCCACTCTCTCCTACCACTAACCAAAAGGTCACTCACCCAAGTCAAATTGGTTCTATAGTCAGAAAAGCAACAAGTTGGTTTGAAGTTAGGAGCTTTGGGTATCCAGGGGGATTCCCAAATAATAGATGATTTCTCATTCCGACCTGATATCTAGCTCCAAACCCTAATGATTTTCTAGCACTCAACCAACTCCTCCACAACCAAGAGTTATTGGCTTTGGGAGAAGCATCCATGAGCTTAGTTTTCCACAGATATCTGGTTCTAAGGACCCTACTAACAAGAAGATTAGGTTTGGTTAGCAATCTCCAAAGTTGTTTGACAATAAGAGCTTCATTGAAAGCTCTTAAATACTTAAAACCCACCCCATCCAGATATTTGGATTTTGCTAACTTACCCCACTCATCCCAATAAATATTATCCCTCCCCCCCGCCTTTCATTCTGACCCCACCAAAATTTGGAAATATCCCTGCAAAGTTGATTAACTATACCCAAAGGAACTCTAAAGCAAGACATTACATAGGTAGGTAAAGCACTCAGAACAGAATTAATCAAAACCTCTTTGCTAGCCTCACTAAGAAATCTATTTTTCTAAATTTTTAACTTGTTTTGCACACACTCACTCACAAAAAGAAAGGTGTCCCTCTTGGACCTACCAATTCCTAAAGGTAATTCCAAATATTTAATAGACTGCACCCTTGAAATTCTAAACAAAGTATTGCATATGTTCATCACAGAATCCTCTGCAGTGTTTTTAGAGAAAAAAAATTGAGGATTTATCAAAGTACACAAGTTGCCCAGAATCATTCCCATATTAAGAAAGCATATTGACAATTAGAGAAACATGAGAGATATCAGCCTTGCAGAAAATGATTGCATCATCATCATCAAAATATGAGAAATAATGGGGGCATGATGACCAATTCTAATTCCTTGAAAATCACTAGACAATTCAGCTTGAAGAATGAGATTGGATTAAAGCTTCAGAAACAAGAAGAAAAAGACAAGGAGATAATCAAGGAGATAAGAGATCATCTTGTCTTAACCCTCTAGTAGGTTGCAAAAAGCCAAGCATAGAACCATCAATATTAAAGGAAAAGGAAGAAGAGCAAACACAAGCTAAAATTCAAGAAATGAAGGTGCCACAAAAACCCATTTTTCTGCAAATTTTGGCAAGAGAAATCCATTTAACCCTATCATAGGCCCTAACCATATCAAGTTTAATTTCCATATAGCACTCTTTCCCTTTTTTCTTACTATTTTAATGATGAGTGCATTCATTGACAATGATTACTTGTCTTTCCTCCCAGGAACAACAGACTGGGAGGTAGAAATACAACCAGGCAAAACCATCTTGATCCTATTTGCAACTATTTTAGCAATTAATTTATAGATAACAGAGCCACAAGCTAATTGGTCTAAAATCTGACACTCTAGTAGGATTCTTCCTTTTGGGGATTAAAGTGATCATAGTATGATTTAACCCCTTTGGCATTCTACCAGCATTAAGAAAATTAGTCACAACCAAACACACATGAAACTTGAGCACAGACCAAGAATGTTGAAAAAATAAAGTTGTTAAGCCATCAGTACCAAGTGCTTTATCCTGATTCATTTCAAATAAGGCAGCTTTGATTTCTTCTTCATCAACTTTTTTTACCAAATCAACATTAAACTCATCAGTAATAGTTCTAGGAATACCACCTGAGTTACACTGCTAGTCTAGAGGGTTTGAGGATTTAAAAATGACTTCAAATAATTCAACAACTCAGCTAGAGTTTCATGTTTATTTAAACATCTAGAGCCATCAAGTTTAAGGTTCCCTCTAACCTGTTAGTTTTCCTCCTCTGATTAATACTAGCATGAAAAAATTTAGAATTCCTATCACCTTTCCTCAGCCAGGCCACTCTAGTTTTTGGTTTTCAAAAATTTTCCTCATTTTCATTAGCCAAATTCAATTCCTTTTTACATTTCACCCAAACATCTCAGTCTCTAAAACCCCCATGCTATCTCATATTGTTCAAAGTGGATTTACAAGCATCAATAACCAATATGGCATTAGAAATTTTATCTATTTTCCAAGTCAGCAAACTTTTCTTAATATTTCTTACTCTATCCTGTATACCAAAAGAGCCCCAGACACTGGTTGATTCCATGCTGACTTATTGGAGGAAGTTTAGCGAGATTATGCGGGATATATAGTGTGATGGTGATGCCAACAAAAGAGAGAGTTGTGGAAAAGAGGGCAAAAAATTGCATGTTATTGGAAAGGCTAAAAGAGGACAAAAAATAGAACAAAATTGTACATTCGAATTTAATCTTTCAATTAATCATGAATGACAAATAAATGTATGATTAAATATAAAATTATCTAAACCATCAATCACACATACCAAATGCAATATATATTTATTCGTATAGTACAATCCACCTACTATGTATTAATTTAGTCCAATCCTATCCCGAAAAACAAACGGTGCTTAAATGGGTGATATAAAAATGCACCAATCATATCCACTTTAACAAACAGCTTTTAAGTATTCAGCCCGGATACACGATGGATAGCATTCCGGAGCAAATAATAAACGCGTTAGGAGTCAGCAGCTTATAAAGGTCAACATTAACAACCTAATCTCTTTCTTCAAGCGTGTAATTTTGGCAGCCACTTCCCCCAAAAATTCAATGTTGAAATAAGATCAAATTCCCAAATCCCCCTACCAAATCCACCTCGAAATCGAGAAATCCATCCTACTAGAAGTCTGTAATTTGATGATCGGCGACGATGTATAGCAATTTCAAAGAGCAAGCAATCGAGTACGTACGGCAGGCGGTGTCGGAGGACAATGCCGGCAACTATGCCAGGGCCTTTCCTCTGTACATGAACGCATTGGAGTACTTCAGGACCCACCTTAAGTACGAGAAGAACCCTAAGATCAAGGAGGCCATCACCCAAAAGTTCCAGGAGTATCTGCGCCGGGCCGAGGAGATCCGGGCTGTGCTCGACGACGGCGGCTCGGGGCCCGCTCCCAACGGCGACGCAGCCGTCGCGGCCCGTCCTAAGACGAAGCCAAAGGACGGCAACGATGGTGAGGACGGAGACAAGGAGAAGCTACGGGCCGGGCTTAACTCGGCTATCATCAGGGAGAAGCCCAATATCAAGTGGAATGACGTGGCGGGGCTCGAGAGCGCTAAGCAGGCGCTGCAGGAGGCTGTCATACTTCCCGTGAAGTTCCCGCAATTCTTCACTGGTATTGTCTTTCACTTTTTCTTTGTGACTCGTGGCTAGATTTGATTGTAAGGCATTGAGCAAAATTTAATTTATAATTTTAGTATACATTCAATATATCCCGGAGAGAAACTGGTGATTGGGTCTTTGGGTTGAATTAGAAAACAATGTTTAGCATATTTATCACCTTAGTGTATTAAGGACGTATATTTCTACCCCAAATGTTTTTGAACTTTTTTTATGTTTCTAGGCAAGAGGCGCCCTTGGAGGGCTTTTCTTTTGTATGGACCACCTGGTACTGGGAAATCTTACTTAGCTAAGGCTGTTGCAACCGAAGCTGACTCAACATTTTTCAGGTAATTTATCCACCATCTTTGTTTATTTCTTTATTATTCCTATAGTACAATGAGCCCAATATAAAGATGTGATTTTTATCATCAGAATCGGAGTTAGGAAAGTAGGAAACAATATATTAGCAATCAGGATTTAGTTCTTAGGGAAAGAGAACCTTAATATACTGCTGGCAACTTATGTCTAGTGGCATAGAGTCAAACAGATTATTGTTCCATGCCCTGGTCTTTGATACATAATAATTGTGTGTAAAGGTGAAGCTTTACCATGTAACATGGAGCTAAGATTGGGCTGAGATAAGGAGCTTTTTAACATGTAATGGTGGCTGATGCCAATTTTTACTGTGACACTGTTAATTATTTGCAGGCCCACCCCTGGCATTGATTTTCCTCAATCCCCTACTTATTTAGGTTGTGCCATTATTATCATCAAATGCTTTTGTGCTGTGTGTCATGCGAGATGTTCCTTGATGACTTTGTTATAAGTTTGTTTTCTCTGATTGGTTAGCTAAAACTCGCTCCACAGCTTTAGTAGCTAACAAGACAACCTTTTTCGCATCTCCATCATTGAGTAGAAGCTAAAAATAACTTTAGCTATATGAGGTAGCTAACACTTGATAGTTAGCAAGATGGTGCAATGCTCATTCACTTCTATTAAACTTTTCAAGTGTGATCTCCGAGTTTAAATAATATAATAATGCATGTCAGCTAGAATAGAGTGGTGTGATCTAAACAGCATTTGTTTTGAAGTTTTAGCTATCTAAAATAACTAAGATTCCAACATGGTTGGAAATGCTGTAAGAGCACGTGTTTGTCTTATGAATCTTTCCATTTGCCTTTTATGTTCCTTATTTCCAATGATTGAGTTCTTAGGCCACAAAGTTGGCAAGTGCCAACTGCTTTTCATTCTCAGTATATCTTCATCGGACCTGGTATCAAAATGGATGGGTGAAAGTGAAAAGCTGGTGTCGAATCTCTTCCAAATGGCACGTGAAAGCTCTCCTTCCATCATATTTGTTGATGAAATAGATTCTCTAGTTGGACAGCGTGGAGAAGGAAACGAGAGTGAGGCTTCTAGACGAATTAAAACAGAACTGCTGGTGCAGATGCAGGTAATCTAGATTAAGTCTAGATGAATATGACACGACTTTCATTATAGTATTTAAGCAAAACTAGTGTCTTGTATATCATGGCTTGAGCTCTTTGCATCTAGAATCTGCATAAGAGGTCTTTTAATTTCTACATTCAAAATTCTTATGTTTTTTTGCTGGATAAATAAATCAGAATTCCTCAGTTGGATCACTTTCTTTATTGGCAATTTGATATGTTTTTTGTTGCTACATTGGAAATGTCCACAAAAGTTGCAATATAAGTTGCTTGTTAATTGGATGGTCTTCGTGCTTATGATTGTTAAGGTTTCTTCTTTTATACCATCTTATGTTGTAATCATGGGTATCTTTGATGGGGTCTGCGAAAAGTTCTTCATATTCTTTTCGTGCATTGAAGAGTTAGCTTAAGAATTATATGCATGTGTGGATAATATCAGCGCATATATGTGCTTGTGTGCTTGTCATGTGAAATACCGTCGAGTTATTGAATTCCTATTAATTGGGACAGAAAATAATAGATGAATGAAGTTAAAATAATTTTATGTAATATCTAGCTTGGCCATACCATTTATGTTTAGAGATTCTATTTTAGTGTACAGTATCCCCAACACTCTCTTTCCTTAAATAATAATTCGGTTCACTGTGATCTTGATCTCTTAATAAAGATCAATACTGTAATACTTGCACTTATTGAGAATCGATTATTAGGGTGTGGGCCACAATGATGATAAAGTCCTTGTTCTTGCTGCTACAAATACTCCTTACGCTTTGGACCAGGTAACAACATTTATTCTGGATTGAAACCTTGAAAAGAAATCTTATGTTTGTTCCTTGACCCACAAGTTTTTTTTCTGTAGGCTATTAGACGGCGTTTTGACAAGCGCATATACATCCCTCTACCTGATGCAAAAGCACGTCAGCACATGTTCAAAGTGAGAAAAACCTGTTTCTTTTTAATTGTATTTGCAGACAATGAACCACAAGTGATAATTTGAAGATTTAAAATTTTGCATTGGGGCCCGTTAATCTCATGCAGGTGCATTTAGGGGATACTCCCCATAACTTGACAGAAAGCGACTTTGAAGTCCTTGCTCATAAAACTGATGGCTTTTCTGGTTCCGATATTTCTGTTTGCGTAAGTTTTGTGTAACTTTTTTTTTTCTTTTGCATATTGCTCTCGATTACCTTCACACAACCTTTTACTTAAATATAGGTAAAAGATGTATTATTTGAGCCTGTGCGCAAAACCCAAGATGCCATGTTCTTTGTGAAGACTTCTAATGGCATGTGGATGCCATGTGGGCCCAAGCAGCCGGGAGCTGTCCAGATAACAATGCAGGAGCTAGCTGCACAAGGACTGGCTGCAGAGGTATAATCACTGCTAGATTAATTACCAAAATTAAAAATAATCACTTTTTTAATGGGAGTATCACGAATAACCCTTTTGCTGTTATAGTAAATTGTCATTTCTTGAGATGGTTATCACAAATAAAGTTAAATTGTGTGAATTTTCTGCAACTTTGATTTTTCTGTAGATTATTCCACCTCCCATATCAAAAACGGACTTCGACAAGGTGCTTGCAAGACAAAGGCCAACAGTGAGCAAATCGGATCTCGATGTGCATGAGAGGTTCACAAAGGAGTTTGGTGAGGAAGGTTGAAAAGAAATCCGGATAATTGTCTTCTGTATATTATTATTATTTTTTTCAATCTAACTAATTCAAACATCTTCATGTTTGTCATGCTTTCTTATACCTTTAAAGGTAAAGAATTAAATCGCCTATCGACTATCATTTATATTTTGAGTTTGATACATTATTAGATTAAAAAGTATGGCCAGAATGATTTAACCTATAAAACACCATTCTAAGTCACTTATTATTTCCTAATAAAATTAGTTGTGTTTCTTACTAGAGATATATATGAAACGTTGATTTATTTTTCCAGCCAATTTACAAGGACTTGTGTAAGTAGAGATTATCCAAAGGACTGACTACACACAACTGTAAAAGTTAAAACCTGAAATATGCACATTTCTTTAGTTTTATGGGGCTAACTCATAATGCATACTTCAAACAGATACAGAAGCTAGCCAGAGCCTTCCGTCGAGAGAGACTTAAAAACAACTTCAAATAAGACGCATAACATTAAAAAAATCAATTATGCTGCATTTGAACTTGAGCAATCGAGTAGGCTACTAATGATTTTTAAATATCAAGAAATCTAATTTTTTTAACAGAATAAAAAACCCAAGAACAACATTTGCAATTTGCTCCTTGGGCATTTTTGCTTCAATCACTACTAAACTTTCTCCAGTTGAGTAAAACATTATCTCATTACTCTCGGGCACTTCAACGTCATGCGCAAATGTTACTGCAACTGCTGCAATGTCGAGTCATTTCATCCTTCATTGACTCCGGTAGCTATCAAGTCTGAAATAATGACAAAAAGTCAAAAGATTTTTATTCAGTTCATTTCAAGAATTATTTCCCCCAAGAAATTTGTAATGTTTATCAAAATTTTCAGGTAATACACCATTCCTTATTCTATATTTTTCCTTTATACCTCAATCAATTTTAAGTACGTTTCAAAGAAAACAAAAGAAAAAAAAAAAAAAATCATTCATCTACAATTCCTTACAGATTTACTATGCTCATTCACATATTCGGATATTCCTAACTACCAAACGTATACAATCATTATTTAACTATTTGTTCATCACACCTCTATCATCATTTGTCATCTCACAACCAATCACACTGATAGTTCTTCTTTATTCCTTTATATACGAGTTTACACTATTCTCTCCAGAAGTAAAAGTTAAAAGAAATTAATCGTTTCCCTATCAAAGCGGATTTGATTATTAGAATTTATTTTCAATTTTGAATATTTTCAGCTGACTTTTGAAGTTGTATTGATCCTTAGCCTCAGAATGAGAACTATTTTAGATGAAATATGACCGTTTTAATTTTATACAAAAAATAGTGTTTTTGTAAACTATTCTAATCATTATTTCTTAGGTTGTTCTTGTGTGATAAGAATGGTTTCAGATACATATACATATATTTTAAATACAATATATTGATCATAATATGATTTTTAAATTTGAAAATCATAGATGTGAGAATTTCTAGTAAAGATTCGGAAAACAAACATCGATTTTTTTTTTTTTTTCATTATTTTATTTTTTAAAAATATGTATCTTTGACAATATGCTTTTCAAAAGAAAGGAAACCCAAACATCTCCCAAACCATCTGCTCATAATAGTTTCTTCGAACTAATGCTTTTCTTGGAACAATAACAAATCAAGATAACATGATACACGTCATCACAAGACATCCAAACGGCATTGAAACCTCACCTTTTGATTATCGATCGAGGCTTGTCAATCCAAAGGCAGCTATTGATCCTGGATTGATTTATGATTTTGACACAGGCAACATAATTCATTTTCTCTGTATCACTGGTGCAAGCCCTGCTCAGCTGGAAAACCTAACTGATTATAATACACATTGCAAAAATGGACCTACATTTCCTCTTAGGAGGCATATTAATGAATTGAAAATACTGAGTTTCATGATTGTAAGACATTTCTTTGTCATCAAGATTTAATATTGATATTATATTACAACACAAGTATACAATTACAACAATTACAGGATTGCTTAAATCATTATTTGCATAAACTCAACTTGATGACTTGATATAATATTACTACTGCATTTGAAGTGGCATGCCATAAAAATTTCGACATAATTCAAAATGGAACTAACCTATTGTACCTTCAACTATGCTCATGCCAATGAGCAATTGGAAACACGAATTAGCTCTGGTTTGAGTTTCTCTACCATCTCTGTCCAGCCAATCTCGTACTCTTCCATATAAATCTGGTACCCATTTTGTAAATAAAAACTGCAATCAAGAGTTTATTTTTCAAATTCATCTACGTTTCTTTTCCAGTCTTCTGTTTTGGCACACTGAAAGATGCATGCATAACTTTTCTCTTCTCAATTCAAGACTCATACCGTATAAANACTCAAAAAAACAGTACCTATCACCAGTAATCTCCACAAGAGCACGATCCATCACTAAAATGATGAAAGCGGTTTGAATCCCTCACGACAATTTCCCTGCCTTCTAATTTCGATATCAGCTTAATCACAGTATGGCAGTCACCACAAACTCTAAGATTCTTTATAATCTTTATTGGAATACCACACGATACAGAAATCAACCCAAATGCAATAGCCAGCCGCTCACTGTGCCTAGAGAGAATAGCTTCCTTTTGTTCCTCCTCAATATCATGGAGCACGTAACTCGTGTCCGGTTTATATCCAACGTCCCTTAAACGAGCATTTAGCTCTCCAAGTTTCATATAAATTTTATCAGACAAAGGATGCGAAACATCCCCAGCCACAAACGAGTATGTCTTCTTTTTAACCTCAATCCAGCTGAATCCCGTTTCTTTTTTCACTTTCCTCTCCTCCATCAGTTTTCTTACTCTCGACCTTTCCCGCCAATTTCCTGTCACGGCATGTAAATTAGCTAATAAGACATAAGCAGCCGAGTCTTGTGGTTGACATGAAATGAGATTCTCAGCTGCAAACTTGCCCAGCTCTAAGTTTCGGTGGACTCGGCAAGCAGCCAAGAGTGTACACCAAATAGTTGGCCCTGCTGGAAAGGGCATTTTGGTAATTACGGATACAGCTTCGTCCAACATGCCTGCTCTACTGTACAAATCAACCATGCACGAATAAATCTCCATCGTCGGAGAAATACGAAGGTTGTTCACCATTAAGTCGAAATACTTCTCGCCTTCTTTCACTAGTCCTGTGTGAGTACATGCAGAAATAACGCCGATGAATGTAATCTCGTCCATTTCCAGTTTCTTCCTTTGCATTTCATCAAACACTTCCAGTGCCTTTTCGCCATAACCGTGCTGCGAGTAGCCCGAGATCATCGAGTTCCAAGAAACTAAGTCACGTTCATGCTGCCTTTTGAAGACTTCATTAGCACTCGCGATATCTCCCTTTTTAGCGTACATGGTTAGAACGGCACTGCTCACAATCAAAGTATTATTACAACAGGATTTAATCGAGCACGCGTGGAATAATTTCCCTTGTTCGGAAGCTGCAGAGGATGTAGCACATGCGTTTATTATGCTCGAGAAGGTAAACTCATTTGGGATGACACCTTCCTTGGCTAGTTGGCGAAAAAAATTTACGGCACCTTCTATATCCTCTTCTTGGGCATACCCAACTAACATTGCAGACCAAGCAACAATGTCCTTCTCTTTAATTTGTGTAAAAACTTTTCTAGCATAATTCGTCATGCCCGTCTTTATGTAAGCGTTGAGCAAAGCAGTGCCTGCAGAGGACGAGCTTTCGTAATTTGTTTTGATGATATCTGCATGCACTTGAAACAAAGAATTGGTTTCGAGATACGCAAGTACTGTCGAATAAGTGTAATGATTTGGCTTAACGTCATATTTTCGCATTCGCACAAACATTTCTATTGCTCGTGCAATTTTCCCATTCTGTAAATATCCTCCGATCATGGCCGTCCATGAAACCACACTTTGAACTGTTTCCATCCCAGAGAAAATCTTGTCCGCATCATCCATCTCGCGGGTTTTCATGTAGCAACCCAATAGAGCTGTTCGAATGTTTTCAAGACAAAAAAACCCAGTCTTGATGACCTGGCAGTGGACCTGTCTGGCAAAATCCAATTCTTTAAGTTTAGCGCATAACTTAATCATGGTAAGGAAAGTTGTGTCCGTGAACTTTACACCAGAAAGTCTCATTTCATCGAATGTGTTGAGAGCCTCCAACTCAAGCCCGTTCGCGATGAGGCCCGCAATCATCCCATTCCAAGACACGGCATCTCTACACTCAGTGTTGCCAAACACGTCCTTAGCCTCTCTGGCCATTCCAGATTTTGAATACAGAGTAACAAAAGAGTTACCCACTACACGAGCCGAATCTAAACCGTTCTTGATAACCAAACTATGTAATTGGATACCCGCCTCTATGGTCCGCTCATTGGCCAATGCCCCGAGAATGGCTGCAAACGTGAAAGTATTCGGCTCAACTCCCTCAAATCTCATTGAGCTAAATAATTCTGCAACCTCCCGAATCATCTTTTTCTGCGCATAACCTGCAAGTAATGAAGTCCAAGTCACCACATTCTTATATTTAATCTCATCAAACACCTTTTTCCCAGCATATAGATTTTCATTCTTGATGTACATATCGACGAGCGAGGTCCCCACGCTGACATCATTGAATAATCCATTTTTAAGGCACTGGCAATGTAGCAGTTTGCCAAAGGCATCACTATGCAAACTTGCAGAAACTTTTAATACACAAGAAAAGGTGCACCCATCAACAAGAACTCCAGTTCGGTTGATAAATATGTAAAGATTTAAGGCTTCTTTGTTGAGACCGTCGCGTGAGTACCCGAAAAGCAGGTGGTTGTAGTACGAGGTGTCTCGCTGGGGAATTTTGTCGAACAAGTTGTGTGCTTCGCGTGAATCTGAGAGACTAAAACCCTCACGGTGGGTCTCAGACTCGAGCGTAGCGGCAGAATGGAGGGAGAACTGAGAAGATTGAAGTTTTTTTGGAAAATTGGAAAGATATTTAGCGTTTCTTGAAGAATGTCTGTGAAGAATCATGGTAGCTCGTGGTAGAGAGTCTTAGAAGAAGACGAAAATTTATGCCATCTTTGACAAACAAACAAACAAAAAAACAAACAAACCACAAAAAAAACAAAAAAAAACAAACAAACAAACAAACAAAAAACAAAACAAAACAATCGCGTGGATTTTGTGTAACAATAACTATATTAACATAATTTTATTATGATTAAGAAACCAATACTAAAATTAATTTTATAAAAAAAATATCATGTTCATTTTATTATGATTAAGAAACAAATACTAAAATTAATTTTATAAAAAAATATCATATTCATAATTTTATAAATTAAATGTTGGGCAACATGAAATTTCTGTGATAAGTCATACAATTGAATAACTTGTATACAAAACATAAAACAATTCAAATTGTTTGGGAAGAAAGACACAAGTCACAACAATACAATGATAATGGCCCATCAAAGTTATGTTTGGTAAATTTAACTTATAGCTTTATAGCTTTTAAGTAAATTTAGAGTTTATAGCTGATAGCTTATGATTTGTGACTGATAAGTTAAATAAAAGTGATTGGTAAAATTAGCTGATAAGCTAGCTGAAATAAAAATTTTAATTGGCGTATTTGAAAAACTACCCAAGAAAACTTATGAAATAAACTCGAGCTTTTTAATTAAAGTATGTCCTACCAAATCAAATTTATTTAATTAAAAATTTATAAACTAATCAAATAAGCTATAAACAAATTTATATGTTTACCAAAGACTGTCAAGTGCCCCAACACTTTAGATAATTGCACATTTCATGGAAAAATAAGTGTCCGACAGTCATATAACGGAAGCAATAATAATAGCCCATCAAGTAGGTACCTCGTCACTTCAAATAATAGTTTTATCACTTCAACATCAAGTCAAGACAATAGCAAATCAATTTCAAATGAGGATGAATGCACATCAGCATTCTTGTATTATAAACTAGTTTGTCAATGCTAAAGAGCCAACTGTCGGCTCCGTTATGGAACCAACAGCCAATGAGATAGCTCGGGCTCTCCCACATTGGAGCCATGTGGGACAGCCCCACATGGAGCTGTCCCATTGATTGTTGGCTCCATAACGGAACCAATAGTTGGCTCCATATCATTACCGACTAGTTTGTTCCCGGTTGTGGCCCAATTTGGGGTTAAAAATTGGTTTATTTAAAAAACACATGAGTACTATATAATTTGTAATTGTTTGTATTTAATAGGATGAACACATATTGAAAAAACTGTAAGAATATACGATGATATATCACGAAATTGACAAATTAGAGAAGATTTTACAATGCAAACTAATATCAAAGAAACTACAAAAGATTCCATGTGTAATAAAAGTTTACAATATTCCCAATATGCATCAAATCAGAAAATGCTGCTCGCAACAACACGAAGCAATGAAGTTCGATATAAACATTCCATAAATTATAATTCTAAAAATATCTGCTTCATGTGGGAGAAGTAGAAACTCACAAACGGGACCCTTCAGTAATGTAGTTTTCATTAAACGAAGTTTGGCATCTTCCATTTTGCATCAATTTTTTTCGTTCACCATGAAGAACTATGCCAATCTCATAGTTATTTTCTCCGACTTTGAGTAAAACTATAGTTGCACCGCCATTTGATTCTTCAATGTGCGATCTCCAAAACGGATGTTCGGGCGGCGATGGATTTGAGTCTTATTTGGGGGGATTTATTAATGAATTATGGGAGCCCAGGCATACAAACCAAACATCACATCCCCTGCGGTTGATTTAGAGCACTATCAAATGAAAATTTCAACATAAAAAAATGGAAGAGTATCATTGGCGACTCCGATTGAAAAATACGAGACGATAGGATTGCATTACAACGACTAACCTTCATTCCTTCAGAGGTAATTGTTTGTGGATTAGCAGCGAATCGACATCCGCCAAAATCTCATGGCGTGCTTTAACTCTTCCATGGCTTTCAAAGTTTGACCCTCAAGAACTGATTACTCTTCGTCCATCACCATTTCATCATCAACACAAAAATCGGCATTTTTCTCGCTGCTAACTCCAACATAGATTGGCCACAAAACAAAGAAACCATAAGTAAAAAAAAAGGAAAATAAAACAAACCAACATACCAAATAAGCTCAAGATCGAGAAACTAATATTTTTTGAATAATATTTTCAAATAAAAATATAAATAAACCCTTTACCTCCTCGTGGCCCTCCATTACACTAATTGCAAAAAGGTTAAATTTTGCTGAAATATACAGCACGCCCTTTTGTTTTTATGTTATTCTTGAAGAAATTTAACCCATGAAATACACTGCCACAGAAAAGCACTAATAAAATCTAATATAAGATTGAATAATTGAGTGACTAAAGGGTAACAGAAGGACTTCATCAGCAGCAACGAAAGAAAGGAGAAAATGATGCAGTAAATCAAGGAGATTCAAGAAGATAACCTTCAAAATTACCCAGAAGAAGATACTCAAAAGAAGCTAGGGACTTCCCCCGGCAAAGGAGCCAACTCATTGTTGCTGAACCTCTCCTCATCATAAAAGCAAGCACGAACAAGCCTTCCTCCAAAAAGGCGACCTTCGAGTTCTATCAGAGCTTTAGTTGCTTGTTCTGCTCTCTCGAACTGAATGAATGTTCTCACAACTTCATCGTGTGTATAGTTTGGTTCCGTAATCAAATATCAAGACACGAGTCACTGTACCAAAATTAGTACACTCTCTGCAACTTTACCTTCTAAATCATCATCCACCTCACCAGGGCCGACCTTCACAAAGACACGCATATTACTAAATAAATAGAAAATCATAGGCATCCTTTATGACGACAAAATAATAATAAAATAGTTGGTGAGGGAGGGGGAGTAATAACAAAAATGCCAAAAATCAACCAAAATAACTCTTCCTAGGGGCTTGGATAGAACAACAAATATTGACTACTCATTGTTGGATAAATAATATATGTCACAAGAAAGCATCAAAACGAACAACCAACAGGAAAGAAGTTTTGCATCTACCTTATTTGTTTAACTAAACATTTGATATAGTCAATAGTCATATAGGTGAAAAGCCAATAACATTGAAATACTCCAGAAATTTTTGCATACAAGTATCAAGTCAATCTAATAGAACCAACGAATAGCATGATGGATAATAGTTATTACTCTCCAACATATATGTGTTGGATCATCAAATGGCTACTGAAGATGAGAACAAGAATGACCAGTGTGCTTACAGAAATTACCATTAAACAAAATTATTTGAAACTTGATATTGATCGTGCAAGCGTGGATTGCATGTCACTGACAGGACCTCTACATAATATGGAAAGCATAGAGCGAAGAAGAAGAAAAAAAAAACTAACTAACAGTGAAGCAGGAACACCAGTCAAAGTAAGATTCTAATTTCCAAGATTTGAGACTACATTCTCAGTTGTCTTCCTCCAGATGGATTGAGACAAAAACCATAAAGTTATTCAAAGGGTTACATGTAAAAATAAGCTTGCTTTTCTAGTCTGCATAATCACTAACTCGTATACCAATGACAAACATAAAGCTCTGTCACAAGGATGTATAGTTTGATTTACATATTAAATATGGGCCATGGAACTCTAAGGAGACGACAATCCATAGCATTTGTCATAATGAATACTATTTGATTCCAATACCATTTCTAACTACTAAACATCGTATCTAAATTACGATTCAATAAGAATGCAGTTTGGTAAACTGCAAAGGCAGCGCAGTGCAAGTCACTCGACATGCATTCGGAATTGAATTGTTTGGTGGTTTTTTAACGAACAAAAAAGACTAATTCACCAAATAGAACAAACTTACGATGATAAATTGCACAGGCACCAAATGAGACAGCATCTCCCACTCTTCCCCCAACTCCCCTTTAAAATTGATTTTATCTTGTAATAAAATGTTATACAGACATCCCAACCTTTGAAAAATTGAAAAAGAAAAGAAAAGAAAAGGTTTTTTCTAGTCCAACTAATATATAACTGTTTGACCTATTAACATTGTAAATATACCACTCACTCTTGTTAAATCTGGCATAAGCCAATGTTGTTGTTGCTTAAATATAAGGTCAAATAAGATCCTTATGATAATCTTAATGCGCATCAATCATTTACTTAAACCAATACAGAAGTATATATAATAATGAAAACATAATAATGAAAACAGGAAAAATAAGTATTAGAGGACAAAAATCGTCATTTTTTTTACTATATATCTTAATGAAGATAATTTCTAGCTCTTTTGCTCCTCTCTACATGAAAACCTCCTAATTGAATAAAAAATAAAATAAAAAACAGATCGAAAAAAAAAAAATATGTCTAAGAAAACAACATTAATTACTAATGGTATTTGAGCCCATGTAAGTTCGAAAATAAGGGGTCATCAACCAAATTTTGGTTATCTTGGCGTAGACCTGCTGCCAAACAAGGTATATTATGTTGGTATTTGATTTGAAACACACTTTCACACACTCACATTGTGCTGTCTGATATTTAGCCAGGCACTAAATCTTTATTACAACGTAAAGGGATTTGTACTAATAAGTGTATGAAACTAAATCAACTATTACTGTTGTCTTTAAGCCTTTTTCTTTTTAACAATCAGAATATAGTTGTTTCCTTCATAATGTTCAAGGTGGCAAGGAAACATCCAATTTCTTGTTGGTTCAGTTGTTGCGAGGGTCTGGGTAGTTAAAGAAGCACGTGTGTGTTGTTATACGTTTATTTTTAATAAAGAACTAATAAACAATAAACATTTGCTTCTAGGTGGTGATGATAGTGGTCCAATAAATAATTCTGTTGAATTCATCTTATTGTCCAATAAAATATTGTGCTTACCTTGAGATTGCTGTGAACGATTGAAAGTCTTGAGTCTTGATGTACACAAACAACTCCTCGAGTAATCTCCTTTATGATTGCAAACTGCACTGGCCATGTTAGGAGCTGGGGTCGTTGTTTTTTGACTGTGAGTAAAATTAGTTAAAGTAATTCAGTCTCTCCATGAAAATTGTACAACAGGGGATGAATAAGAGAAGGGGAAAGTGTACCGCCGTCCACCTGTAAAGGCGATTAGACTTATGTCCTCCATGAGTTCGTACACAATCAACTTTTCCTCTCTATGGATGCAATAGCTGAGTAGCTTGATTATGTTCTCCATGAACTATCAGATGCTTAATAACATAGCACCTATTTCAAACACCAGCTGGGTGAGGCCAATTTTGTGCGGGCTACTATCGCAAAAAATTATGCGTTTGGCCAGGATATTGCTGAGCCTGTTGAGAGGGTCTTCCATTGACGTCCAGGTTATTGAGTTGGGTTCCTCATTCCAGATTCACCTGAGGTCAAACCTGAGAGGCAGGGCGAAGCTCATTTTCTAGTCAACTTCTTCAGAATCCTTCTAAAAATTAATCTTTCGAAATAATCTTCAAGCTCCATCTTTTTGTCTATTTTTGGTTGTATCATGATTGAGAATGGAACAAAATGAGCAATAAGAACATAAGTCTTTACCATACAGATGCAAGCAATGTAGACAAGCCCACAATCCCTGAAAAGCAACCATATAATAAAACCTCATTTTTGACCATCCAACGACAACTTAAAAATGGATTCAGTTATTATATAATTATTCCTAATTTGCATCATATAAATTATTCCGATAAAAACAGAACCAGTGTAACTTACACAATTTTTTGAGTGCATGAACCACAGAGTGACGACGACAGTCCAAGCCACAAAGAAAGGGTAAAACAAAATAAAAATCGACAGTACAACAACCCTCCCAGTAAAATGAGCATATCTTTGATGCCAGTCAAATCCCTAGGCCGTGTGAACAGAGGCAAATAATCAATGAACAACAAAGCATAAGACTTCAAACAACTCTTATTGAATAAGGATCAAGGAAACTTAAATCTGAAAACTCACACTGAGGAAAAGATGAATCTTGAGAGATGTACGTCTGAACATCTCGGCTCAAAATCCGGAGGGAATTTTCTTCTTGCTCGAATTTGGTCGCTAAATTCGTTGTCCTAGGGTTCACCATCTGGGTCTGTTCATTGATGAAAAGAGAACGAGGATTCAAATGTTGTTGCCGAGATTCTTGCCGTTAGAGGACGAGGAGCCACCGACGATACTGCGCGTGGTAGCCAGCGTTGACGGAGGACGGACAGACGGGGTAAAAAAATCATCTCCCATTTCTCTCTCCCCCACGAGAGCGAGCATGGTGTCAAACGGGGTAAAACGAGTGCGGTCCCACATAGGTGAGGTGCACCATACGAGGGTTAGCCCAAGTGAGGTTTCATCCCAAAACCAATTGGTGATGGGAGGAGTAGCCACTAGACTTATAAACTAGGCTCATTTACTCTATCAAATCAATGTGGGACAACTCACAAGTGATATTCCAACACATGACAATGACAAATTAACATTCTGTGAGAAATTTTGAGAGGAACATTGTGAAGGTGAGAAATTTTGAGAGGAACATTGTGAAGAGGAAGAAGATGAGAACATTTTTCTCCTCTATGTACTTTTTTCTTAGTGTTATATACTGAAAGCTTAGCTTTCGATGATATTACACTTTTATCTTTTATGAATGAGAATCATGTTAGATTAAACAAGTTCTATGTTATGTTGTTTTGTACTTAGATAGAATGGGTCGTCATCGGTGGAACAGAAGATCATTCTATCAGTTACTCGCGAAACAAGAATTATGGTTCACAACCTAGATGGAAATGAAAACCTCATCCGAACGGTTGTAGTGTCAATGGTACAATTGGTCTTAACTGATTAGTTGTACTAGTACATTTATGTATTAAACAGAATCCCATAGAGAAAAAGTTCGTTTTATACTGATCGTCGTAAACAAACTAGGCCTCGATTAATTTCTGCGTTCTTTTAACCCGTAAGATATTAAACAAACATATATATGTAGTATATATTACTCTGATTCACCTGGGTGAGGTTCAACGAATATATATATTCTTATTGGGTAATTGTTGTATGTATGATGTGTTGTTAGGATATTTACGTTCATCATGTATGTTTAGTTTGATGATGTCCCCGAAGTGAGTTCATGAAGAATTGTTATGCTAAACCTTGCAGGTGGATTAAGTTCCGGCATAATAATAATGTGATGAACAAGCGCTAACTTCGGTGAAATAAATAATATATTGTTATAAAACTAGAGAGAAAGAGAGAAAATAGAGAAAATATATTCTCTTATGTGTGTTTTTCATTATAACTGAAGCTCCTATTTATAGGAAACTCCTGATGGCACAACTTGTAGTAATACAAATACATCGAGGGCAAAATAGTCATTCACATACATTATTTTATTATTTCATAACACTCCCCCTTGAATGACTATTTTCTAAACATATTTTAACTAATTTGAACAAAGCTCAATCTGTACATCTTCAAGTGTATCTTGTGGCCATCAGGTACTGTTGCTTCAATATGTCAGGAAAACCCGGTGGGACAAAACCTGATCATCGTGAAAGCACAACTTTGTTTCTTCAGGAAAACCCAGTGGGACAAAACCTGAGCATTGTGGAAGCACAACATAGCTCCCCCTCAAATAGATCATCTTTAGTGGAATATCCATGTGCTGCCTCGTTAAAACCTTGTCAAGAAAACCCAGTGGGAAAAAACTTGATCGAAGGAAAAAGAGTACAGCTACTCCAGTATCTCTTATCATCGTGAAGAATCATATCATTTATCCAGTAGTCCTCATCATACCATGAATATGCCTCGTTAAAACCTTATTAGGAAAAACCCAGTGGGACAAAATCCTAATGAAGGAAAAAGAGTACACTATTCATGTGAATACGCCATCCTTGTTGCCTCATTAAAAACCTTGCTAGGAAAACCCAATGGGACAAAACCTCAGCCAAGGGAAAAAGAGTACAACGCGTATTTCATATATTCACCATAATAATCTTTCCATAATTTGCATGAGTATC